AAGATCTGCTTACTGCTTACTAAAACGTTGGCTGTGGGGACAAGCATTTTGTCTTGCTTCCAAGAGGTTTTTTGGTTCTTAGCCTCAACTCTATTGGATAAATATACCAATATTTTGTGAAAAATAGACTCCTCCATCATTTAGGAGGCTTGGTAACTTCGGGTTTTTGGGATTTAAAAATTGGGTTTTAAATTCTTATTTCAAAATGAGTGAACGTAAGTATTTCTAAAGCTTTGAGACAACTTGTACCTSAAGGAACTCTGAGCTGTTCGTAACTGAAATAATAATTATTCAAAATGATTAGAAATAGCCACAGCCTTGACATTCCTGATTTGTAATGCAGACTTTCACCAACTGTGCTATCCTATTTATTTTCTATGTTGTAATTTGTATTGCTTTTTATGCCGAGCAAAATACAGTATTAAAAGAATTGTATTACACATGGAGCAGAAATTCTAGTTTGGCTGGTGCTATATATTTCTGTGCACAGGTGAGAACTATTCCATAAGACTGAGTCTCAGCTTTATACCTTAGGATAACATTTCTATGAATCTCTGTATGGTTTGCAGGAGCTTTCCTTCCACTGAATGTTTCAATAGCATGACAGTGGTTGAAAATCTGCTTAACAGGACTCAAACTACTGTAACAGCTGCACGGTCAGATTTGAGCTGGTCCAGGAGGGGAACGAAGATATATGGCAGGGGRAAAAAAAAAGCAAGAAAAGGATCAATATCTATCAAGCTGTGGACAAATAAGGGGGGTTCACTCTTTTTAACCTGTTCTCTCCATTTCCACAACACATGAACATATGGGATCCCATTACTTGAGGAAAAAAAAAGTAATTTTCCTCTCAATGGGAGTTTGACTACAGAGAAACGGGCAGAATCAGGCTATAAACRTATATTTTCTCTTGCAAGAGAAGCTGGACAGCAATTTAAAACAAAAACAGAACAACAAGAAAAAAAAAACACAAAACAAAACCTACCTTAACTGTGTAGCACTTTAAAATAACCCAAAATACTTAAAAATACTCCTAAGATGGAGATGTATTCAATTACAACATGCTCCTGCAGCAACAGCTCCAGTCTTAGGTTAACTGAGATGTGCCACTCAGGTAAGATACTCCGTTAGAATTTTGTTCCAGCCTGCTCACAGCTTTCTCACGGAAGGAAAGGCTCACTGTAGAAACATGAATGCTGTATTTTAGAGCAGAATTTCCCCTCTTTCCCACTCCTGCAGCCCTATTGCTGTGCAGAATAAAAATAAATCAGAACAGAGTTTTTATGAGTAAGGAATGATCAAAAAACTCACCAGATCAGAAATACAGACTGAGATCATTGAAGCAAAGTTCAGTGCCGCATGGATGGAAGTCTTACACTTGCTCTTTCCTAAGTAAAAATATCTTACTGTATTTCAACCTTTCAATCACCTGTCCTATTTATAGCAAATCAAGCTTTCTCTAACAGCCAACAACATTTTTGGTTAGTTAAAACTTACTGCTGCTTTTTCCCCAGCTTTAATTCCCATTCACTTCTTAATGGAAACTTCAGAATGTCAAATGCAAAATTTCCATTAACGTCAGCGAAGCCAAGATTTTACCCAACTTTGTGTGGCAGCCCGAGCAAATACTGCAATGTTATACTTACCCCTGAAAGGCAAGTTTCTTTTGCGTTACGGCAATTCAGTTAAATGGATGTAATGTCAGACCTAAAGGTAGAATCTCTACTTTCAAATCTCTAAGGAYATTCCTCTGTGGATCTCTTTGCCATATAACTCTAGAGTCATTATCCAAAGTTCATTGGAAACAATGAAAAATCTGCTGCAAGTTCAAGGGACTTTGGACCATGCTCTGCTTAAAAAAGAAAAAAAAAAAGGGATTATACCCTTGCAGACTGGAAGTCTGCATGCTAGTTCCTTGCTTTTACACAAGGGAGAATGGCAAAGAGACAGATCTGCTAATATCGACACTAACACATGAGTAATCCTGACCCCAACAGCAGTGCCAGATCACAAGAAACCTCAGTAGTTTCTGTAAGATGATGTAGGTTGACGATCTTTTTCTTCATTTTCACTAATTTTGTGCAAAAGGAAGCAAATGGCCTGAGCAAACAGATGGAAAGATATTTATGACAATCTAGGGGCATTTTTACTTATAGTTCAAGCACTTTGCTACCAACATGGACTTCTTGTATCTAAGACCAAAACAGTGATAGGAGGAACAGAGACAATTTTATTCCAAATCACTGTGTGTCACTTACTGAGACTATAAACAGCACAGGCAGAACCAACGGATAGCATCTCACCAACGTGGCATCTTCTTCACTACGTCCAGAAACAGGCAGGTACAGGACAGCACACCAGGTACCTAACCCTTTGGGAAGCATCTCATTCTGCTCTCATCTACACACATTTTTTTCTTCCATCTCTTACCTTTTTTTCTTTTAGGCATATTCAGCAACTATGAAAAACAAGTACATCTTTGGAAATATTTCAAAAGCTAGAAGCTGACATTCTCACTTTCCAGATGGTGAAAACAAGGCAAGTAAATAACGCTTTAGCTGCGTGCTCACTGCAGGCCCGCTCGAGAGACCAAAGGGACAGGATGTGCTTTCTTATGCCAGTTGTGTTTATATCAACAGAGAGCATGAGAGAAGAAAACTGCTGCTCCTCAGCAGTGACATTTACTTTTCCGTGAAAATAGATGGAAAGTGAGCAGGCAAAGACAAGACATATTGACAGTGTCCCTTTAGCCTGCACCAACCAAGAAAAGCTAAAGGCCAAACGAACAATATAGATTGTTTCTTTCTTAAAAGGGAGACACCAGGAAGAGACTAACCTGGGAATGAAAATCACAGCATTTTTCTGCTCTTCACCCATGGCAATGCAGCCCAGTACTTCCCTTGCTTGCATCGAAGGACACTTAGTGTGTTTAGCCAGGAACGTGTCCAAGAAGTAGGAGAAGAATCAATATTTTTTTAGTCTCCTATTTTCCTTGCCTCTATTCATACTGCTTGTCTTACAATGGATGTCAAGTTTGAAAGAGAAAATGACAAATCTGGTCTTGAAACATCCACTACAGGTGTGTACAGTGGGTCAGAGACCAGACCACACAGCCACAACAAAGAAGAATCCAGCATAATTTCTCAAGCTTTTACAGTAATGATTATACAGTAATAATTATGCCACAAAGTTATCTGACTTTTTTAAAAAAAATCTTAAAAAAAAATCTAGGGAGGCACACATGTAATTAGCAGAAAACAACTAACTTGAATACCTGTATGAACATGGTATTCAATCCACCACTACGACTGCTCTGGTGAAAATGCCTTGTGAAAATCTCAGGAAAGTAGCCCTGGAGGCAGCGTTAGTAACCCCACTTAACAAAGGTTTCCCGAGTGTGTCCTCCAGCATGTGTCAGCAAGGAACGTGCTGGAGGCAGCACCTCAGTTAGACTGCAGCATTAGAAGAGCCGTGAAATTTAGAGGGGATTATCACTCACATGTTGGATCAAGTAAACTTTTTTCCTTTCTAATGGAGTATACTTTTTGGTGAAACTTTGGTGCACTTCTGGAAGACAGGAAACCCAAATTAATTTTTTTTTTCCTACCTCCTATGCACCTTGACAGATGTGCCTTCAGCTGCTGATTAATTTTGAGAAAAATAGCCTTCCTCTTCCTCCAGCTTTCTTAACATCCTGCTCAGCTTACTGCTTGCTGTGAAGCCCAGTGAAGTGCGAGGAAATGTCTCTCCTATATAATGCACGGAAAGATTGAGTCACTTACTCAGTGTCGTTAGTTTTATGAGGTAGCATGATGCCTGGCACTTAGCTCCTGTGAATCTAGCTCGTGTGCTTCTGTGGAACAAGATACTTCAGTTAGGATGTGAAGAGGGAACTCGGTTACAGATAATTTTCAGCTTTTTATRGGTTGTGCATTAATCATCAGCAGAGCCATGTCAGAATTAGCTCTGTGATGATGCAGCAGAGCTTCTTACCTTGAGCACAAGCCAAGGAAATACATTTTACTATTTTTGGGGTCAGTGTGATTTCAGGAGCCACCAAGTCACCTTTACAGTGTGTGCAATCCAAACCCATGAGCCATTTCAGACTCCAATTAGCCTCCCAGGACCTGATGTGACAGCCTTGTAGTTTGCTTCCCAAGCAGGGAATGCTAGAGAATACGGAGATCGCCAGGATGCTATGTCTGCACCGCTGAATTAAAGAGTGCCAGGGCTTAGAATTACTTGGCCATCTASCTGCTGTTAGAAAAGCCCCAGCATGTGCTTTGCCCAGGACGGCTGGCACTTTTCCACCCAAAGCTCACACAGTTTGGATGCTGGCAGGGGCCAGCCCAGTTTGCACACAGCTACTGTGCTTTGCAGGGTAAGCAAATTTCACGGTAATAGCTCAGAATGAGCCTCGTCTCTGAGCTGAGGCAGTAACTTCAGCTTGGTTTGACCATGCCAGACATAAGCTGGCTCCATTCAGCCATTGCTTCTGCACTGTGATCTAAAACAAGGGACTTGCCATCGGTGTAGTCTCTCCTGCTGCAGTCCTGTGCTCAAACCACCACGTCCTCAGAGTTTGGTAAGCAACGATCTACTGATTCTTCAGCAGTCAGACCAAAGTTGGTGACATAGCAGATTGCTTCTTTAGGGGTGGRTGTCTCTGTACTTTGCTCAGCAGCATTACAGGCAGCAACACAGCTTATGAGCTCACTCAGGTGCAAGACCAAGAGCTCTCTGCACGTGCACAGGTGCCCCTCTGGATCTTTTAAGCCTGCCTGGTACCCAAACCAGCAGCTGTTGCACTAGAACAGTCTAGTGACTGTTGGAACCAGACCCAGTTCACTTGGTTCTGTGCTGAAACAGATCTAACAGCAGTGCTGGACACATGATGGCTTTGATTTGTCAAAATCAAATAGATTACTGTAATATATAAACAGACAGTGTTTATGTAGATACATGTGTACATACATATATATGAAGATATACAGCCCACATATATGATTTTAAATCCCACATATATGATTTTAAATGTGAACTAGATAAAACTCCTATAAAAGAGCATCTTTCATCACCCACTTCATATAAAAAACATTTTGTGCATTAGTTTCATTAGACAGCAGAAATAAAGCTGTATAGTAGAATTACAGACCAAGACCAGTTGGTCCAGCAGTTCATATCCAACATTTCAGTGGATTCCATGTCTGTGATATAGTCTTCCTTAAGACATATTGCTTTTCCCCACCTTCTTTTTTTGGACATAGAGGAATGCTATCCTGATAAGTACTTGATCTGATTAAGTCATGTTCAATGAATTTATACATGCCATTATAGCTCATYGGTGCATAACAAACGAAGTACAAAAATACCAGATATTCACCTACAGAAATAGCATATCATTAGAAATTAGAACAGTCACTACAGCTGCAAATTTGTTATTGTTGCTATGGGTGGGGAAGACAACAAACACTGAAACGACTTCACAGGTCCCAACATCCCTGTTTGGTTAGTGTCACGTGAACATTCCTGGAGAATGGTGATACTTCTCATCTGATCCACACTCAGGGCTCATTCTCAGAATGTTTTATGTAACTGTTCCTTCCTTGTAAGCTGATCTTGCCTCCTGCTTCCTCAGGACAGAACAGTCATTAAGAAAAGCAACTTTGCTCCCTGGGCGACATTATAATGATTTCATTCAACCAAGCAGCATTGCCCCTGAAAAGGGGAATAGTTCTTTAACTCGGCCCACCTTGTCAAAGTTTGGTTTTGTTTGAATTTAAGAGTTACCAACTGCAACGCACTGGGAAACAAGAGAGAAAATTAATTCAGCAGTTCTTCACATGATATTCTGCTTCTTCAGTCAGCCATCCTTCTTGCYGGGTCTCTACTTCACTTATTCTATTTGCTTCTTGGGTTCAAAGTTTTCAACTCCTTGCCCATTTTTTTAATCATGCATCACTTGGCTGACTTCTTGCACCTCCAGCCTTTGTTGCTTTCAGTCTTTAATGATGATCTTTTCGTTAAGAGCTCACCAAAGTGTAGATCATGCTGAATGTAAAAGAAAGACACAATATGAAAGAATCCTTTTGAGGCATGCAGAGCACTTTGATTTTTATAATCCTTTACTGTCTGTTCCTCAGGCTGACTGTAATGGCCTGTGCTTTCCTTTGCTCTATTGCTTCATATTCCTCCCATCTCTCTAAAGCATCTTAGTTATGGTGGATTCAAGACAGGTATGAGAAACCACTCAAGAAATAACAAATTCATTAACGATATCCTACTGTACCTCAAGCTGTGTTTGAGCTTATTAAAGTGTGGTCTGATGTTGAATTTGAAAAGTGAAGAAACAAAATCATTCTGCGTTAGCGTGTTTCATCTCTACAACTTCAACTAGCGAATCTCTGCAGGGCAGGCAGGGTGTCCAATGAAACTGCACTGTTTGGTTTCCTTTGGAAAAAGCTCCATGCAGTGGAAGAAATATAAAATACAGAGATCAACTGCAGGAATCCATACATGTTAAGTGCAACTCTGAAATGTGAGGAAATCTCAGTACATTGTCACTGCCTCATTTTGCTCTAGTTCTGTTTCTGACAATATCCAGGAAAGTGCGGCAAAAGTGAATATGATCTATATTATTTTATTTAGAGCCAGACAGTGGGTTTTAGCTTACRGCTATATTTTGAAATGAAGGGGGAAGGACACAGAGGAGGCTGCACAACAACAGCGCTGCAGCTGAAACACTAAATCACAGGGCACAGGTGACTTAGCAGGTTCTGTCACCCAGCACAGAAATGTGGGGCTGAGATGTTGCTTCCCATGCCTAAAATCCCCCCATGCCTTGTGATGATCCCTCCTTACTCTACCAGCAGAGCTGCTCCAGCAAAACTCCCATGCTTCTCACTTTGCCCTCTGGCCTCTGCCATCCCAGTGCAAGTTCAGCATCTACCAAACTCTGCTTCTCTGTGCTCTTTTTCTTTCTTTCTCCTTCTGCATATGCAAATGCAGGCATGTGCATATATGGCCAGAAAAACAAACGTGCTAAACGTTATTTAAATGTACACCTGAGAAACATCAATCTGCAGCAGTGACTTCCCAAGGTAAGGTGCTGACTGACAACAGAATAACAGGCCAGTGACTAAAGCAGAAATGAGGTTTATCCTCTTCCACCATCACACAACTCTATTCTACAAAAAAAWTCCAGCACGAAAGACTTCTTGGAAGACGTGGTCAATGCAAATATGTTATGGGAAAAGGAGTAGGAGAAAGGTGTCATAAAAACCCTTCAACTTAAAGATGAAAGTGTTAGCCTTTCTTGTCAAATAGCTTCATGGTGTAATTATGGAGGCCACTAAAAGCACAGGGATTTGACAAGGTCTTGCCTTAGACTCCATCCCTATATATTCTCGCATCTGACATGTGCGAGTGTGCATTAAAGACATGTGACAGCTATCAGGGTTGCAGTAGAGGAGCAAGGAGGGGTGGTTTGACTGGGGTGCAGATCTCCAAGAACGCCCTTACAGTGCAGCTCTGGACCACCACAATAACCACGTCCATGCTGTGGCAGAAAGGCTGTTGCAGGAATGGCTACAGGCACGGTGCACCCTGTGCCCGTCCCCGGCACCCTGAGCGCGCCCACGCTGCCCGYGAGCGCGGGCCGGGCTCCCCGCTTGGCGGCAGGTCGTGCCGGGGAGGGCTGGTGCTCAGGGGCTCCGTTCAGGCGGGCTTKGGAGGCCTGCGGGAAGCACCCTGGCCCGTAACGCAGCAAATCGCACACCCCCAGGCACGCCAGCTCACTGATATATCACCACGGGATATAACGCCTGCTGTGGTGCCCATCCTAAAGGACTACACGGAGGATCCAACAAACGCGTTTCCTCGGTTTGGCCCAGGCCTTGGACATGCACTTAGCAGGATGCCCTGAGCTGCCGGGGGAGTTAACCACAAGCTGCCCCGATTCAAGCTTGGGAGCAGCTTTGTAAAGCTAAGCAAATKGGCCTATTTGCTTCAGACATTTCTAAATACTGTATCACATGTCAGATGAAAACCAGACAGCATTTCCTTAGGAGAAAGACCAGACTTACCAGTAAAGATAGTAGAAGAAGGAAAGGAGATAGAAAGCTAGCTTACACCAGGCCTCTTTTTGACAGTAACTCAAGGTATCTGCATTCATGACTGCAGGTGGATCATATGCTAGTTCTGAACTATCTGCTGGGCAATGGAAATACCTGAAAAAGCAGGAGAAGACATCTGAAATGGCTCTGGAATTCTATATTAAATACATGCAGATATATATCCTCCTGTACTCGGTTATCAGCTGAGCTCAGAAGAAAACCTCCTTCCATGTTAAACCAGGAATCTTCCTCTCTCTATCAGGTCTTTATTTCTGGACATGCTTAAAACCAGGATGCCAGGCTAAGCAAACTGCTCTTAGAGGCACAAGCAATTCATGCATATGGACCAGACCTTCTCTGTTTGACTAATTCTTCAGAATGACACATTCCACCTTTCCATATCATTCTTTCTGCTTTAGTCTCTAATAACTTACACATTATGAGTGACAATACGTGGTGGTCTGTGGTCACAGCATACAGCTAGGATTCCTAAGTTGTAACCATGTTAATACAACAGACTTCAGATATGATGAAAAGTAAAGTCTCAACCAACTGATAGCTCAGTTTCTCCAACTATAAAAGCAAGCAAGTCAAAGAGAGATGGTTTCTACTTATAGCATTACTCTAAAATAATCTAAATTATCTAAATACATTTCATTTTTTTTTTGTTTTTGAAGAAGAAAATTCTCATTATTCTCATAATTCTATTCTTTTGTTTTGAAGAAAAAAATCCTAATTCTATTATCCTAAAAAATCCTAATCCTTTTTTCCAAAAAAGCTTTTATCAATTATTTTGCAGTAAAAAGCAAAAAAAAAAAAATCCCTAATCAATTCTAACAAAAAGCTTTAAGAACTTTAAGTATTTTAAATGCTTTTTGCATGACTCAAATGAAGTAATGTTATTTCTCTTCCTTGAAAGTGATAATATAACTTTTAAAAGATTGCTGTGATTACTTAGACAAACAATTAGACAGGAATTGGACTCTTAAATATCCCATACTCTTAAGTAACCAGTAGTAAACTTCRAAACTAAATGGCCTTCCCTGTTTCTTCCCCGTTTCTTCTGTGAATGAATTAGTCACATTCACCTACACTCTCTAATAATATTGCAAATCCTTTCACAGAGATCACAAGTGAATTCTTTGCTTAATTATCTTCATTGGATGAAAATATTACTCMGTGTCTTTCCATGAGTTTGTGCAAAACTCCATATAAGGAGCCCAAACTTCTCTGTGGTTAAACCAACAAYAATTATGGAGTAACCAGAGCAGCCTATATGGAGGCTCATGAAAACAAAGATGATCCAAAGTATCTTCCTTCCAAAGGTGATACAACCATTTAGAGTCTCACTATTTTCAGCTTATACATAATACTATTTTTACTTTTTATTTTTAGACCAATATTCTTGTCACAACACTGTTCCCAGCCCTTAGCAAAACAGTACTAAAATATTACAATTTGTACTGCATCAGATCAACAGGGAGAACACTGATATTTCACTCCATTTAGCTCTCAGAGAACTACACTGTTACTTTAATGTCTAGACAATACAGTGTTCCTTATCACTTTTCATTATTCTGAGCTACTGCAGGAAAAAAAAAAAGTGCAAAAAAAAAAGCTAGCACTCTTTGGTAGCTAGGTACTAGCTGAGATGACAGAATAGTATTGAATTTGTTACAGAAATATCTTTCAAGACACTGCTTAAAGTAGCTCTCTGCTACCATATGTATCATTGTAACACAGAAAAACCCTGACAGACAAAAATCATCTGTGCTTTTACAAATGTGGTGAGAAAGCAAAACTAGTGAAATTTTCCAGGCTTCTACAATCTTTACTCCAACAGAAACTTCTCTTGCTGAATGAAATTCTCTACTGTACAGATATATAGAGCAACAGTCTACTTTATACTGCCAAAAATGCAACAAGGTACCAAAGAAGATAAACAGAATCCCCTCAACCTGCCCAGTAAACACAACTCCAATGGAAAGACTTCTTTGCCAGGGATGGACAAACATATCTAGGGTCTTCAGCACGCCAAATGTCTTGCACCTCCTTGTTTGAGGTATTTAGTACTTCACTGAGTTTGTTTTCCAAACTACTTCATTTCAGGTTTTCATTCAGCTTGATTATGCTGATTGCATCCTGAAGCTCCTGGGAATATCCAATTACGTTAGTAACTGAAAGCCATGTTTATATATTATGCATTTTCTTTCCCTACCCTAAACATCCCTGAATTCTGTGGCAAGTTGAATCTCAGCTGTTTATAGAAATAGTTTCCAGGCAAAAGATATGGAGCTACCCTCCTATCATTGCAGTTTGTACTTCAAGCAGTTTGCATCTGCACCAAGCTGGCAAATACAGGTGAACAGGCTGGGCTTACCTCCAAATGTGATAAAAAAGCAGGGGAACATTTAGCCCCAGCGTGAGCCACTCCTGAGCGCACAAAAACATTATGCAGAAAAGGCTGTGGATGGAGTATTCAGGCAACACCAGCTAAAAAGAAAAAAAGAAACAGGGGAAAGAGCAGAAGTCARTAAAACACCTCTGTGGGTTTAGCTGCTAAGCTAGGTTTTCAGCACACAAGCCAGGTTGTATCCCCAGACATATGGTGCAGCTAAGAGCAGGGAGCACGCAGTGCGGGGCAATAAAAGAGTGGTTAGTTTCAAATCATTTTATCATTTTCATCTGTCAAAGAGTTAAAACAAGCCCTAAAACAGCGAAAAGCAGCTGTAYTGTGTCTCTTATACAACTATGCTATAATGGAGTCCAATTTCCTGATTTTTGGGGGCTCTTTCCATCTCACACAGAACATATTTTGCTATTTCATTTGAGCAGTAAACACATTTGGACATCTCTTACTCTGTATCTATTTCTTCACCTTCAGCATCCACAAAAGTTTAACTTGTATGGATGACAAATCACAGTATGATTACATAGTTTGAATTCCAGATGGCAGTTATTTATCACTCCTCTTTTTCTTCAGTTTTAGAACGTGATATATAGCATAACTATATCCTTTCCCAAAATAATGATTTATCTTTGTCACAAATTGCAGAAAAGAAAGGTCTTAATGATGGATGTCTACCCACTAAACACCCTAGCACTTAAAGTTTTAACATCCATTATTTAACTGGGGAGATTCTAGCTCAGGTCATCAACGTAACCAGAACACAACGCTGGTGCCCAAGTAGCAGGCTTCCAACTTAACATTTTCCATTGCATCCTTCCAATCCATGTTTTTTAGGCAAAGGAGTTATGTGACTTCCAAAACGTTCTCTGCATGGCTGCCATAAAGCCAAACTCAGTGCCATTTACGGAAATGCACCAAAGCATTTTAGTGGAAATTCTCAGGTTCAAGTTCATTTAACCTTCAATTCAATCTCATCCTGTTAAATTCCATATTAATTTGGGGTCTCTGGAGCAGTTTTCTAGTTGCTTATAGTCATTTCCTGGAAACTGTATGGTTGTATGACTAAARTTGTTATGAAACAAATCTATATCTAAGGCATTTTAGATTATCCACACCAATGCTAACCSAAAAATCAAGAAGTAACTAGGAAGTTGCTATGTAGATATATGTGACTTGTTGCAAAGTAAGTAGATGGAAAAAACGGATCTCTAGCCATTAAAGGAACAACTTGTAGCACAAGGTATTTCTATAGCATAGAACCTGTCAAGTTCACATAACTTGCCTTACATTTTTTTCCAGTGGAGAGCAACGCTGCAATGCATGGGAGACTGAGTCTCATGGAGTAAATGCTGAGCACACATAAAAACCAAGTCTGCATCATCTGCATTTTCTACCTCCCCCTTTCGGGCCTGCAATGCAAAGCAGCACAAAGTCCACACTTTGTCAAGGGAATTTCATTATTCTAATGTTTTACTGAGGTTTGCTCAAGCACTATCAAGTGCATAAGAACATAAGTCATTCCACAGCCCAGACAGCTGACGGTGAAATGAGGAACACAAAGGACCTAATTATCATTCTCCCTAAGTCGTCTCTGTCCATCTGTAACACAGCAGCAGATCTAATATTAAAATGCACTATTTCTAAACTCTGTTTCCATCCCACCTATTACAAAATATCTGTCTTTAGGCCTATCATTTTACCTCTTAATGGTCTATTTTTATACTCTGTAAAATGGGGATAATTACATTTAAAACCGATAAGAGTTCATTAGAGTTGTTAGTGGAATAAAAAGGCAGAGAAAGTCTTTAAAATCTATCTATACAATTTTTTGCACCAATCTAGTTTATGACTACAGTATTTCAGCCTTATCATAATACAAATAATAATAATATCTGACAAGAGTGACAGGAAGATCTTGATMAATATTCCATAATGACTTGACTACCTACAAAGACTTCTGTTTTACAGAGCTTAGTGCAAATTACGAAGAGGAATATGAAAAAGCTTCTCCTCTGTAAGGCCTGCAAGGACTAGCTCAATTCCAAGACTGCCCRGTCCATGAAGACGTGCCATTAGAGACACGTGTGCTCTCATGTTACAAGTGCACCTCCTTTGCCAGCTGCTCCCTTCTCCAGGGATCAGGAGATATCTTCACAACTTTTGTTGGTTTTTGGTTTTTTAAGTAATTTCAGAAATTAAAAATGTTAATCAATAACAGAAGCTGGCTTAGCAACCTCGAAGGACAAAAATCTCTAATTTTCACCACATTCATACAAAAGAGGGTAGCAAAAGCCCTCAGCAGAGCCCGCTGGGTCAATCAGGAGCCCCCTGAAGCCCTGCCACGCTCCCAGACTTGGGCAGAATGACAATTAGTGGCCCAGCTGCTCATTAGGAACCAGAAAACCRGCACCTCATTTCACAGGCAGGTCTACGAGTGCAGAAATCTCAGTGATCATTAAAATGAAGCTGAGCCATCTGCACGGCCCAGGAAGGGCCCTCAGGCCTTCTCCCCGGGGCCTGCCCCAGCCTGACAGCTTCATAAATACTGGAGGCCGCGTGTTCACAGCCGGGCTGCTCCCGCATCCCGAGCGTGGGGCTGTCAGCTTGAGCAGGGACAAGATGCCTGCGCAGCAGACGCAGCACACACGGTCCCTGTCCTGCYCTTCTAACAGAGCCACTGGAAACACCAGCATTTAAATACAAGGTAGGAAATTCACTCCCCAACACTGCTTCCATCCACACATGAAGTACGGTGAAAAAACAGTTCATTCTRTTTTTAACTACGGTCTTGTTTATCTGTCTTTGCAGAGAGGCTGCACAGGGCTGGATGCTGACTCCACTTAAATGCACAAAGAAAAGCACATTAAAGGTAACARCAGCATTCAAATTAATCCAAGGATTTTTTATTACAATGCAAATACTGATGGGTTGTATTTGCAGTAAAATAAGTAAGTCAAATTTTGCCCCTACCTTCACTATAACTCTGAGAAGCCGATGTGTGAATTTTGTTACCCAGGGCAGCTGGAACTCTTCTCTCAGGAGTACATTAGAGGCAGCAGTTATTCGCAGCAATTTCTGCTGCAACTTCAGTCCTATTATACTGTTTCTTGTGATATTCTGACACTCTGAGCACATAAGTTTGCATATGCTGCAGAACAGTAGTGGCCAAAGCAGAATCATAAGCCAGCAGGTTGTCTACTACAGGGACATACTTAGTTTGTCACTTTAATTCCATCTTTTAAATGTTTATTCAATCATTAGAGTGGTTTAGCCTAATATAGATTTATATATAAATATTCTCTTGAGTATTAAGAATAAGGATAAATATCTCCCCTCAAAGAAGGCTTCAATTTCCATCCCATATTGCACTGCCAAGTCTTACTTCTCCCCTGGAGTAAAGGGGGCAGGAAGGACCAAACTGCCCCCTTGAACAAAATTTGAGCTGTCCCTTCTTAGGCTTGCAATAGTTACACAGCTCTTCCCCTTGCAATCACTCCTGCTTTGAACACCTGCACAGGAACAGCAGGATATAGCTGTTCATTAACTTCAGTAAATAATCATCCTGAATTATTTATTTAATATAGTGCTGGCACAAGGCACATACAAACCAATGCTACTAGCTAATAAATATCCTGTGTATAGGACTTAACTTCCTCTAAAGTTAAGCCCTACATATTCCTCCTTTCCTTTTTGAGGATGACTTCCCCATTCTCTAAAGATCTGGTAATTATTAGGTTACTTTAGCCAACCTGGTGGCTTATCTGCTAAATTTAAATTTATTTAACCATATTATATGACAAAGCACAAACATATTGAACTGACTAGTTATTTCTGATTTCAATTAACAGAAGAGTGAAGAAAAGTGAAGAGGAGGATAGATACTGGAACTGTTATTTAACAGTCTTAGRAACAGGTGATTTTTTTCTAGTGCTTTAAGATCTCATAACTCTCTAATTGTCTGYATTCATTAGCAGGTTCGTAAAACAGATCATAAAAGCCTTTAAGCACCCAACACCAAATAATTTCACTCCCAACAACTCTGTCAGAYTGGAGCAGTTTTCAGTCATTATTGGACTGAATTTCAACAGTTGCTACAGAGATTAAAGACTGTATCTGCAATTATAAACTCAGCAAATCTTCAAACAGCTTCACTGGAAGCCTCAGTGACGGAACTACGAGAACCCTGCAAGCCTTGACAACCCCACTTCCCAGCCAGAGTGTTAAAACATTGAAAAGGATAAAAACAATTTTTAACCCTTCARTTTTGGATTTACCTTGCCCTGTTGCTATAACTGGAGTGCTAAACTTGCTGTAATTATGGGTGCACAAAACATGTTTTATGGGWGGGGAATGTTGTTTGCTTATTTTTYATATTTTGTGACATAGATGAAGTTCAGCTGGAACATCTTTGAGGTTAATGTCACCTTGCCTGCGGTCAGATTTCTTGCTGAATTTATTCTCTTCCAATCATCCCTTCAGGACTTGCAAAACAATCAATAAATTCAAGATAAATGGTTGAGCAAATGGGCACAATATTATCTTTACACTTGCAGTTTTATGAATTTTATGCATAACTTAACTAAAATATTTCGACTGTAGTAGGTAAATAAACAAAAAAAAAAAAAARAAAAAAARAAAAAATTAAACAAACAAAAAACTCCTCAGTCTTTTTATCCACGTTCCCTCCCAGGTAAGCCAGTTCCAGTTTTGCTCTTAAGAAATCACTCTTATTTGAATTTAATGAGGTTTAAAAACAAATATTTGCTGTTTTTTGAGAAAGGTCACTTATACTTTTCAGCAGTGCTTGGCATAAGCAAACTAAACTCTGAAATGTTTGCTGAGAATTAAGCGAGTTCAATTAACTTTCCTCCYTAGACTATGGATTTGCCAACTTAATTCAAGCATCATGAGGCTGTTGCWTTTAGTCACAACCTAACCACAGCTCAATTTAAATTTCCTCAGAGGTAAAGTAAGAATATTACAGTGCTTGACTAAGGATACAGACCATATGTTAAGTAGGAAATTCACCCTGCTCGTGTTCCTGCACGCACGTGGCTCCTCCTTGGGGAAGCAAAGGCAGGAGAGGAGGCACATGGAGCAAGCGGAGGCCACGAGGACTCAGTCCCATCCCGACCTGCCACAGAAACATCCGTGGAACACAGGGAGCTCCTCCACGGTGCCAGTGCTGTGGCTTTGTCTACATTTCTCTTTGTTCCTGGAAGGGTCCCTCTGTTGCTGGACACTGGTCATTTTTACTGGGAATGGTAGTGCTTTTATGGATGAGTTGCTGGTAACTTAGGCAGCAGTTTTTTATGCTGTTCTTATGCTAGCCCAAACAGCAGAGCTGCAGGGCTGAAAGGTAGGAATCTGATGACAAAATTTAGTGGAAGAGATGGTGCAGACAGAAACGGCACAGCAGTCAGCAGCGCCATGTGCCTGTCCTGGGCCATGTCCCAGCTGTGTAACACACCAGCRGCCACACAGTGCAACGCTCATCAGTTCAAGCCACACGTGCACTCACAAACATATCCCCAAAAGCCCCAAGCAAACCACTGTGTGAAATGAGATCTGTGTGTCCTGAGGGAACCTGGCATAATGCTGCCTTCAGAAAACAATTCCTTCCTGCTGTTTGCATCAGGATCCAAGACGTTTATCCATAGCTACTCAAAATTCATAGCTTCTTTATATGCTCATTCTCCAGTGACCAGAAAAGTTAGGCTTATCTAATTCTATCGCACTATACTTGTCCACATGCCAGCACCATACTGTGTTACAAGCTGCCTTACTTGGTGCATTCTTGATATAGAAATATTTTTCCCAAATCAAATGTAAGAAAGTGCTTGGCTGCAGAAGGTCCTTCTAAAACCATACCTAGTCAGCCTGCTTTTAAACCAGGCTATGCGAAACTGAACATATTTTTATAGCCCACCTATAAACCTCTATATCCCTATAAATATATCCCTATAAAGGGATATATTTAGTGCTTGCTGAAAATACCCTAACTGCTATTTTACTCTGCCTATATAAAAGAGGCTCAATATCTTCACTCTTTTTCCAACATTTTTCCCCTAAAGCGTGTATCCTTTATGCTATGTAGGCCACAGCTACTGTCACTGATTGTCAGATTTGAATGGCCATAGTTATTCCACCATCCTCTTCTGGTACTTCATCTCCCAATTAAAATAAATGTGTCCCAAAGAACTTTGCAGGTGAGGCTGAATTAGCAGACTCTTTAAGTGAACCAGAAGCAGTCCAGTCCTTGACGTGCACAGGCTCTGTAAGGARCCAAAATGCTCCATTTTACTGTTCAGCAAGTCTGAGGCTCAGTAGAAATTAAACACTGATGCTGGCAAGGCATTCCCATGGGACTCACATACGTTAATTCATTACCACCCTCCAGTTGCTTTATGTCAAAGAAACTGGGACATCGCTTGAATTTGGCTGGGAGCCAGCTTCACAAAACAGAAAGCAATCATTAATAAGTATTTTCTCTGCTTTTCACATCTCTCATGTCGTAAGCATGTTAAGTAAGTACTTGAATGAGCTTCTTCACAGCCACTTGTGCACAGTGGTGCCAAATCCTGATCCATATGAGAATCCCGCTTGGCAGATGTGGATGTGGCCACARCACGTCCTTGGAGCAACCTGAGCCAACAAGCCTTGCTCTGACTTTCCCAAAACATCTCAGGTTATGGCAATCAGTTACTGAAAAACATATTTGAATTTAGTTTCTAGTTTCATTAAGCTGCAATCTWCAGTCTCTACTTTAATGATGACCTTTTAAGGGAAAAGGCAGAATAATTTATGTGGCTCCATTGCTCTTGTGGTGAAAGCAATCCATAAAAAATGAATATATAAAGTAGAATAGTTTGGAATTATGATTATTTTGACTTCACAGAGTCAACATGACAGAGTGCTTATGAAAACTCTCTTTCAAGTTATGCAGGAAAGATGCAACATATGAAAGYACTCTACAATTTACCAGCTCCTTCATACTCCACAGAAACTGAGGCATTTAGCAACTCTCTTGGCTCAAGTCAAAATAAACATTACCTCAACTTTTCTACTTAACCAGTTAAAAAAACTCAAATACTAAACATGTCATTAATAAAATGTTTCACTTATCAAATTGTAAGCCACTGTCCAAAAAAGCATATTTCTAATGCCTGTATCACAGTGGTAGCATCAGATGACATGGCTATAAAAGCACATGAAACTGCAATTGTAAAACAAATTGTCACCTCTGAAAAGCCTGCTCCAAGCAAAGGGATGTGTGTTTGGAAGTTTCAGTCCTTACCTARAAATCCTGGCTTACTTTAACCTCACATAATGTGTCTTACTCTGTCTTTACCAAGTCACCATGATTTCCACTTCTGCAGTGCAACTCAGCCTTTCATCCGCGCGGCGAGAGAATTATGCAAAGAGAATAAGTGCAGAGCACCACTCAGTGTTGCTTGGCTTTTCACAATCCCCTCCAAACCCGGGCTGTTTACACTCACCTTTCGCAGGAGGAAGCAAATACGCTCAATGTTTCTCAGTCGCTCTCGCTGTCAAAGAGAAGCGGGAAAAAGAGATGGGATTAGCTGTTGTTATAAATTAAAACAGCATATTAACACTACAGTGGGTCAAAATATAATTATTGGGTGCAATGAAACAACACCCTTCATTAATTCTCCCAGCAGTATTCACTTCTTACTCATTTTAATATTTTCATGTTGGTTATTTATTCATCTGTTACTGTATATAGTTAGCCTTGAGTTGGAGGCTGCGACTCTTCTGTACACCTTTTCATAAAGAATATCTGTAAAGTTCAAGAAATGTGACTTTAGGCAATGAATGCATTCATAAACGCTGAAAGTCACTGTAATTGAGCAGTCTGACAGCAGATAGGGCAGCAAAACCACCCTACTTTCCAACAGTGTAACCAACAGTAGAATTTATCATAGGTCCCAGTGATGGCATGTGTGCAGAGCAGATCTGATTTTCTTGGTGGCATGATCACTGTAAAGTCATGTCAAAGAGAATCTGTCTTGGTGTATTTTATTCCTGTGAATCTTGCTTAGGGCATCCTTGGAGTCAGACTCGTCAGCTGTAGTGACTTTCAGGATTCGCTTGCATTCCTGAGCCCTAACGCAGGACAGACCTGGTGCTCTGTGCTCAGGAGCAGTGAGGCCACTTGAACCCAAAAGCAGTTTTACGCTAAGTCAAAGCACTTGATAGCTGTGAATCTTAACATAAACTTATGACTGAGCAATATTTTCCTCCAGACTAACTATTCTCAACAGTTACCTTTTCTAAACAGATAACAGAATGCACCCGTGTAAGGAGAAAATGCTCTGTAAGGCAGTGCTCTTCAAATGTTTTAAAATTGTTCCAATCTTTGAGTTTTATTTTTGTTCTGCAAAGAAATACTTCTCTCCCTTTCCCAAGTTTTATCATTTCAAAGCAAAAATCTGTCCTTTTGGCAAGACAGTGTATTGTGCAACAGAATACGTTATTCACTCTTAAAATTGCAGCACAAATTAGAGCCCTGCCATGAGATAGGGAGGTCTGGGAGAGCACCTCTTCTCAAGTCCTTCAAGCCCTTGGTCAATACACATGGCACGGGGAAACGTGGTCATCCYAGGCTTCAAGGCAGAGAAAGCAAATGATTTTTAAAAGAAAAATTGGTGTCATAAAATGAAATGATGGGAAAAAAAAGGATCACATCACAAGTCCTACAAATATTTGAACTTTCAAAGTGCCTTCCTAACTTACGAAAGACAGCTATAAAGAGCTGCCATCTGGCTGCCTCAGAGAGGTCTGATAAATCAAGTTTGCAAACCACAATCMCATTCTCCGCAGCCTCTACATTCCTTTCCCTGCTCACACTCCCACTGAGAGCTCAGGGCACCGCTCGCCCTTCAGTAGTCGCTGCTGATCAGGCTCCCGGTCGTACTCACTGCGTGGACTGGGTTGCACTGATCTATTGGGCTTTTGAAGTCTGTYCGTAACTCATCAAAGGCGATTATCTGCAAAAGAGTTTTCAAACATTGTAATTAATGCTTGTTCCAACACTTCTGGTTGTTTAGTTAGATTCTAGACAGATGCATTTCTTCCCTCCCATTCCAAGACTTTCAATCTTTGCAGAGACCAGAACCCAACCGGGCTGCCTCTTGCAAGGTGCCCCTCACACACCTCAGATGCTAGAAGGCTCAATATCCAGCAGCTGAGCTCCCAGAGCCTCTCTCTGCCTCAGGCTGGGAAGCAGAGAACAAATCCAGTCTTCTGACAGAATACAGGGAACCAGCTCCCTTGACTATACAAGAGCAACAACCACCCTACAAGATGCTACAGCACTCCTGCTCATCCAGGTGTTCTGGAAGTAACCAATTGTGTATCAATACAGAGTTTGTGGTATATAATTAAACATCTCATGCATTCTACAGGTATGGAAGAACAGAAAGCTTCAAAATGACCTGCTCATGACTCACCTAACAACCTATGATAATAAGACCCGGAGCTACAATCTACTGATCTAACCACTACTCCGTACTACACTCTAACACTGTAGTCACCAGGCTGAAGTACATTTCAAATCAGAAAAGGGTGGAATTTCCTAACAGCACACTGCAGATTTCATTATTCAACTATGACAAACCACAGTGTCAGAAAAACCTGCGAAGGGAACTAAAGAACATGATTTTAAGTTAAACATTTCTCTCCAGGATGCTGTATCCATACATGTTCAGTGGTAGATCTGTATCAGAGGATCAAACTAAGGGGAAAGAGGTGAATTCGCTCCAAGCTGAAAGAGCGAATAACAGGAACGGTGATAGGGCTGCAACGATTTTGAAGAACCAGGTTCATACGAGAGAGATTAGCTTCATATACTAAACTTTCTTTTTTCTTTTTTCTTTTTTTTTTTTTTTAACAACCTTTCCTGTATAATCAAAAGGCTCATTCTTTGTTTGCAGGCATACCATTCACTATGCTTTGCTTACCAACTGAAATTAATCTGACACTTCTGACCAACTGCTCTAATGCAAGCAATGAGCCTGAGCACAAGCTTCTCGCAGCTGCCCCTTGTGGGCCACCTGCGAACGAAGGCGGCATCAAGGTGCCAGTAAAAGCCCTGTGGTCGGGCATCAAGCACACAGGGTTGGAGGAAGTTCCTTCACAGCACGGGAGGAAAGTTCTTCTGCAACAGACCTCGTCTGGGAGGGGCCAGGCAGAAATAAACCCTCCCCGACTGTTAACATTTTAAATTGTGTAATATACTTTCTTAAATTCCCTAGAACGGAAATCCAGAGATCATATTAAGAGATCTGTTCCAATTTATGATAAACATATTTGCATTTCTAGTACAACGAAAAGCTTTAATAGTGGGCAAGCTCACAACTAATGGGAATACAAGGCAGCTTCCATAGATTTTTGTTTGTTTTTTAATTTCATGATTTTGGGTAGACTAATTCTACAACTTTGGATGAGAAATGACAGAAGGAAAGCCGCAGCTTCCCCAGATTGGTGGCTGCTCAGAATCCAAACTAACCTCACGCTGAAGCAAGACTGCCCGGTGCTGCAGAATCAGTCAGGAAGCYGCCACCACGAGGCCTGTGGGGCAGCTCGGGGCACCTGTGGCCGGYGGGGCTGGTTCTCCCGCCGAAGCCAAGGCCCTGACCGCCCGTCACCCCCGCGCAGCTTCCGCGGGAGACGGGACCCTGGCCCCCCTGCAAGGCGCCCCGCCGCCGTCACCCATCGCCCTGCAGCTGCGCGCGGTGCCTCTGCGGGCCGGAGGAGCCCGGCGCTTGGGAACAGCGCTCCAGGAGCTCAGGGCGCTTCCCCCTCGGGAGCTGCCACGCTTGGCATCCCGACAGAGCCGGGACTTTGGAGACCAGTATGCAGGACGCTCAACAGCGCGACCGGGTTTATTGCTATTGCAGAGAAGGGGCCAGGGACGGAATGGGCAACAGAGACTCATCCAGCTGCTCTCTTGGAAAATTTTCCTTACGAGTCAATGTTGCAGAACAATGTGGGGAGCTTGCAGTGCCACCACAAAGCTACACCTTTCCAGTTGAGAGAAATAACCCTATTGGGGGTGTCATCCTCCTAATAAACCTGAAGGGTTATTGCACTGATTGCCTTCTCTGGCAATTCACCCACCCGGGATCCCACTGCTCCACATGCAGGTCAGAAGGGAGCTTGCTCCGGATGAACACTTGCACCGAGCAGAGGAGACTGGGACGACATCAGGTGTTTCAGGAAGGCACCCAGTGCAAGGATAACTATAAAAGGCATTTTCATCACCCCCGCTCTCTGCGCACACATCTCCACRCAATAACAGCTCTGAATAACGAAGCCTTCATGTAAGACAGCCCCTGAATTTTGTTTTCTTTCTAAGCTTATAGACACATCTAGCTGAAAATTTCACCTCTCAATTGCAGGAATGAATCATGATCTCTCAATTTTAGAGAAGACGTATGATTTTTTCCTAATCACTGAGCATTTACAGAAGCTCTTACAGAGCCCTTAAAAAAACATGTATTTTATTTGAGAATGTGAAGTTTTGGAGTAGCATCACTTCTTGGTATCTCAGAAAAGTTAAGATAAAACAGAACTTGATTACAACCACACTAAGTACCAAAGAGAATGGCAACATCACAGACAGTTCCACATCAGGACAAGGCCAGCGTACTACAGCTCTGTCCTGAAGAAATTATCTTTATGGCTCATTTAAACACACTTGGCCCGTCCCTCAGCTTGGGTGGCATCCTGAAGCTGCCCACCTAYGTAAATAGATCTATAGAGACACAGCCTCGCTCTTTGTCCACACAGGTATCGAGACGCAGCTCCAGGCTGGGACAGGCAGGAYGAGACGTCTGCTCCTGCGCTCGCTCCAGGTGCCCGTGGCCGGCGGGAAGGGCACGTGGCGCTTGCACCGGCTCGTCGCCTGCCCCCCAGCTGTGCCAGGGACACATGGTCCCAGTCTCCTCAAACGTTCAGTGTTATTGACCAGCTGCTTTGGGAGCTCATGAGGCGTGAACCAGCTTGATACAAGGCCAGGAAATTGTTTTGTTGGATTTTGTTGATCAGAGGTGGCAAGAGACCAAATGTGGGGCACGTGGTCAACTGGGAAGCACTGCAAAGAGATTGGAAGCGGGCATTAAGTAGTTGAGTTCATATGGCAAAGGATGGGAGAAATGCAGAGAGGTGGCACCTGCACAAAGTGACATTAGTCTAGGAGAAAAATGTGAACAAAATCACTGGGGAAAAAAATCCACCTGTGATACCGTGGAGGGCARTTTGGCTTACCCGGCTCACAAGCAGAGGGAAGGACCGAACGCTGGCTGCACTACAACAGGAAGCAACTTCTACTTGCCAGGGCTGGAGCCCATGGTTCGTCATCCCATCTTGGAAGGCGCTACCAAGCACCTCACGGGCTGGGGCTTTTGAGGCCTAAATATCAAGAGCTGGCAGCTCAGAGGAAATGGTGTTGGGTGTTGTTGGGAAATGGCGTTTCTCACTGTGCTGTAATAACTCCATGTCTTGCTACAGCTTCTTGATGGCACTGGGCTGCGCAGCAGAGCGTTCGCTGCTCTGAGGGCGGGGGGGACAGACCTCAGCTCGTGCTGCAAAGAGCTGCCCACTGCTGTGCAGCCCAGCTGCTGTCCCCGGCCCACAGCCACCCGAGAAGGAGCAACAAATGAGAACACGACGGACAGCGAGGGGAGAACATCCACAGGGGGGTGAGTATACAGACAAAACATGTATCTTATAAGCATCCTATAACTATTACTTAAATAGTTACAGTAAATAGTGCACCTCAGGGAAAGGAYGCAGGCTCGTGGGTAAGAACACACAACAAATCTTTCAGGCTTCAGTACCAGCTCCCTGGAGATGAATGGGATTCATGGACTAACTGCAACACTTCGTAACAGAGAGGTGGAGAGCACGGCTGCTGCATTCTCCTCACTAGCAGTACTTTGAAAGTAGTTTAGAGAAGGAAACAAAGAAGTACAATCCAAGTGCAGGACTGGAGGATCAGAAAATAGACTGGACAGTGCAGGACTAGACAACAGATTAAATAGGCTGGATTTTAACCAAAACACAGAAGTTAAAAAGCACACCTTTCAGGGACCATCTACTGTAATGTGCTGTTTCATACCAAAGGGATCTCTGCTAATGATCAGATTATGAGATACAATATGCTATTTATTTTAAAGAAAACATGCACTGCTTGGTAGAGTTTGAAGCATTTAATCTTACTTCCTTGATTGAAGTACTTTGTGCTACACTGAAGAAGTGACAACAAATGTCATCTATTTATTGTCACTTAATTGTCAAAATGCAGGCAGAAGGACTGCAGAGGACAGCCTAGGCTGTCCAATTCATTCTCCTCCTTCCGTAGACACTGTATCATATAATCTCTGGTAAAGTGATGATCTTTGCTGGTAAAGGTAATGATCTTTAATAAAGGTAATAATAAATGTAATGGTAAAGGTAATGATCTTTAAACAGTAAATTAGGAAATGCTCCAGCTCACTTTAAGAAGTGGAAGGCGGTGTGCAAGTTGCCCTTTCACGGCTCCCATTTCGGGAGATTCCGTGGAGACTGGGAACCTTTCCCTAACTTTGAAGCCCGTTCAGAGATAACACGAGTCACATCTATCATGCCAAAACTGCTTCATTACAAGAGCTGCTTATTACAAAGTACTATTTTGGTGGACATGTGCATCAAGCCTGGCATGATTCCAAAGCAACTGGTTTTCAGTTCAGCAGAAGGCTCCTTCCCAGCTCCCGCTAACTGACACYAGCACAAGTCCCCACGCGCACACACATCTTGTGCATTAAAGCCCCAGTACAGGAATAACAGAGCCGGTGGATGCTGGCACTAAATCACTACTACTTTTTTTTGTTGTTGTTGTTTAAATGAATGAATTAACTCTTGGGTTTCTAGGGATTTTTATCCAGACACCCAAAAAAAAAAAAAAAACTACTAATGATCCCTTTTCTGAAGAATTTAATACCTCTTT